TAATCCTCCTAGAGTAGTAGTAGTTCTCTTTTTCAAGTCTGAGGGTCCTGTAGCCTCACTCATGGACTTTCTGTCCTTCTACCAGCAACTTAGAAGTAGCTTTTTATGACATTATTATCTCGTGTGAGTTCTGCTTGCTGCCCAGACAATGTTGAATCAGGGAGCAAGGAAGATGTGACTGGCTCATCTTGCCTCATCCAAGTGAAATGCTTTCCTGTAGCCTCTGGCTGGCTGCAGAAATTCCTACCCAACAGAGATCCCACAAAAGCAGAGAGTAAATACTTGTATTCCTCCATCAGAAACCTCATCCTAGCTCAATGGCTGGCACCTCCATGAAGTCCCCAAATTCTAAGTTGTACTGACCCTAAGTTCTCACCTGTTCCTCTCCAGCTGGCTTTCCAGTCTTGAGACTCTGTACTCCCAAGTGGGTCTGTGGGACTCACTTTCTCCTTGCTAGTTAGATTCCTGGTCCATTACCAAAGCTGGTGTCACAGAATCTGTCCTGCCCTAACCTGTGTGTCCTGTCCCGTCTCATTAGAGCTCCATTGGGTGGTCATCAAGGGGAGATGTCAGTAGATACTGTCTCACCACTAAACACACAATGTCACTTTCGGATTTGAAGTCTTTTTGTTCTTGGTTTGGTTTGGTTTTTCGAGACAGTTTCTCTGTGTAGCCCTGGACGTCCTGAAACTCACTCTGTAGATCAGGCTGGCCTGGAACTCACAGAGATCTGCCTGCCTCCTGAGTGCTGGAAATAAACGTGAGTGCCACTCATACTAGCCTCTGATCTGAAGTCTTATTGGAAGGTGTTCAAAAGAAGAATTATCCGGTTGTCCTTAAAAATTAGTACAAAGCAGTACAAAGCAGGAAAAGTAATGTGAACAGGATCACTTAGTCTGGAAACACAGTCCACTGACAGAGCTTGCCTCACATGCAAGATAATGCGTTGGGAGAAAGGAGGCAAATTTTGATAAAATATACAACAGCAGAAAATAATCTGGGCTTGATTAATTAAATTATAGGACTCACCAGAGCTTACTAAACTCTATCTCTATGGTCTACTTTAAATTAAAGACAAAAATAAACAACAACCAAACTATAAAAGGGTAGCAAGAACTCCAAGAATGAAGAATAGACTATGTAAGTATCCTGCCTGACATCCAACCCCATTTCAGCATCTTCCCTGACCTTGCAAATGCCCATCGTGTGGGGCATGGTCCCTCCAAGGCGGAGGCAGCTAAAGGGATTGTGATGGGAAAGCAAACCATCAGGATCCATGTAAACCCAAGCTGGTCCTGCAGGGCACTGAACCTCAAAAAACATGAGTGGGCTGCATGGTCCAGTATTCTCCCCACTTAGACTTTTCCAGAGAGCTGTGAAGACCCAGACCCTAACTCCATAAATGGAGAGAGCTGAGTCCACAGCAATAGACAGTACATTTTGCTATAAGTGGCCACATACAATTTATCTGGGCTATAAAACAACTTAATTCATTTAAAGCATGGGATCGCCAAGTGTGGCCCCAAGATCAGCAAAACAAGATAGCTCTTTAAAAATCACAAACAAAAAACCTGAAACTTCAAGTTCTCAGGTTCCTCTCCCAAGACCTACTAAATCCGACACCTCAGGGCAGGGTCCAGACCAACTGTGCACTTTAACAAGCTCTCCAGGTGACTCTGGCTTGGGAATCAGGACTAGAAAGAGAAGAACTACTATAAAAAGTAGCTCTAATCCCTTCTCCCTAGTAAAGTCTCATTATTTACTACCAGGTCACATAAGCATTTATTTTCCTTTAAGTAGAGTCAATTTAACATTGTCCTCACTGACTCTAGAAAGCCAGAGAACAATGTTGTGGAAGTCATCAATAATGGGTTTAAACACACCCCTTTTGGAAGAGATTTGGCCTCCTACGCTTTTTGTTCACTAAGTATTAGGGACGATCTCTAATTCCCAGTGGAGGTTGTCACTTTCCTCTGAAGGAATAAATGAGCACGATGAAGGGAGTGGTAAAGGGAAGGTGGTGACGGTGCTAGCCATCAGCACAGACGACACCAACTGGATCTACATCTGTATCCACAGTACAGCTCACCTATGCTGAGGACGGAGAAAGATGAGCACATCAGTAAAGACTGCGAGGACTGGCTGCTCAGTCCTGGATGCTCCAAGTGGCAACAGCTGGTATGGGGAAAGACTGGTAAGAATTTCTAGTTCCTCCCCAAGAGAAATTCGATCGTCTCCTCCAAGGATCTCTGAACAAGAATTAGAGAACTGGCACACGCCAGGAGTGAGCATCCTGCAGGAGTCTCCTGTGAGAGTACTATTTTAAAAAGGCAAGCAAGAGAGAGACAAATTGCTAGGAAGTTGCATTTTTACAGCAATTGGGAGACAAACTCCTTACCAGAAATGGAAACTCATGTGATATTGTTGCACTGCATATGAATTATTAATGTTTATAATCTTTTTTGCCAATTAGGTATTCAAGAAGGTTCCTGTTGACATCATGTTTGACATCATAATGCTTCATCATTCTAAAAGCTTAATGAAATAAATGATTGCTAGAAAAAGAAAGAGATCAAACACACATCTTTTTTTTTTTTTTTTTTTTTTTTGCACTCAGGGGAATACCAGAAGCCAACTAGATAATAAAGATAGTGTTTATAATTGATGTAAAAAGAGGGAGGAAAAAAACTATTGAAACCCACTGCTGCTGGAAATAGGACCAAATGGCAAAGACTTTCTTTTTCTACCCAAGCAGTCAGAAAGGAGGAGGAGCCACATGGTTGCCAACTATCACACACTCATAGGGGTTGGGGGGGGGAATCTCATTCTAAAAAGGAAAAGGAAAATTTTTGACAGAATCATCTCATCCATGTAAGGGCACAGAACATGTGACTTTTTAGACTGCAAAAGACTGCAGAATATTAGCCGGAGGCTAAAGGGTACTATTAAATATTTGGTGGTAATTCTGTGAGAACTTGTTCTACAGCATTTGCATAAATATACCTGCTCTAATTTCAAATGTATAATTTCTGAGGCTTGTGCAATGCAAATTCATGTTGAATCACTGAAGTAACACCCCTCTTCCCAGCATTCCTAGCAATGGCTTGGAATAAATTAAGCTCTTATTTGGCCATCTTAATGATAGTAAAGTGAGTTAAATTCCTTCCCAGGTCAAGCCTTTTAACACTCAAGCCAAGTAGCATGAGATTTATTTGAGTTTATAGTAATGCTAATAATCAGGGCTCATTTTCTCCATCAGCTTTCAGTCCATTTGCTTTCCTAGGTAGCCTCTTGAGGAAAGCACTAAGACACAGAAAAATGGTCTCATTCATATTCTTTTTCTTTCACTAAACAAACACCAAGTAGCCAGAGTTGCCAGGTACTAAAAATGAGTTCCTTGCTACTATGAAAGGCAAAAATACATAAGTTTCTCTTGAGCAACCAAAACAAAATACCACAGAGTTCATGAGCAGTCACTGCTCTCAAGTACTGCCTCAGGCCTTCAAATTCCCTTTTAAAACCCCAAGTTAAGGATGTTGCTAAAAATAACTTTTTCAACACCTTTAAATTTTTTCTCATGCTAACTTTATGTTAGTGCTGGCAGGAGACCCAGAAAGCAACAAACGAAAGCAAATTTGGTCCACACATGCCTCTGTAAGAAAATATATATATATATATATATATATATATATATATATATATATATATATATATTAGAGAGAGAGATGTGTATATATAGATAGATATAGACATAGAAGATATAAATTCCAGGTCTCTACTCTTTAGATAGACTGTTAATATCAAAAGTAGGTAAAGAAACTTATTCCTGGCACATAGCAGCTATATATTAAATGGTAGGTTTATAAAGAGATTGCATTTGACAAAAAATGAAATTTGTCCCTCCCTCCCTTTCCTCCAGTGTGGGTGCACTTCATCCAGGGACGATGCGGAGCCTCCTCACACTGGGCCAACTGTTGAGCATATTTTTAACTACTAGATATACAATTGTGCCTTTGTCAAGGAATCATGGAATGGTCCCTGGTAATCTACTGACTACATAAGAGCTGTGTCTATCTAACATTAAGAGTTTAGAGGCGTGATTTTTCTCCTGTGCACAATGAGATGTGGCATTGCTCTTCGATTTGCTATAAAGCGATTACATCTGACACAATGAATCCCTCTTGGATGTAAAAGTACTTTGAAAACATATAGATGGGCACTGTTGGAATAAATTTTCATTAAGAACTATCTGGAGACTGCTTTAACCTTTCTACACCCTCACGATCTTATCCCCCCATCCCCCTGGGCAATGCGTGTACAGAACCACCATCCTGAGGTAGCTGCCCTGAACTGACAACCACATCCCTCTGCAGTGGCTCTGCTGATATTCCAAACTCTGGCTGGGTTATCTCAATTTTGTCCAGGATACAGTCATCCCAGAGAAACACTATAGTGACAACAGGTTCCTCTTGGCTCTCGCCTAGTCCCTTTCTATAGCTCTTCAAATATATAAACAGCCTATTCATTCACAAATCCCTGCACCGGGCCGCTGCGCTGAGAACTCCATCCAGCCTAGCTGACTTGCAGGTGAAAATCTGAACCCGAGGCGCTCTAACATCCTGGTGCTTAGTCTGCACCACATGCAGATCCAGCTCAGCGCTCGGATTTCATTCAGAGAAACTCGCATGCTCTTGGTGATGCATACCCATCCCTCCAGCTACATCCATTGGACCACAGGCTGCCCTCCCTCAGCAAGAAACAGGCCGCCCCAACTGCTTTCATCTGCGCTGTACTCCACCTGTCCCCACCCCAGGACCAGCTAGGGTTGGTCCCAGGCACCCTCCAGAATCTTTTTCTCCCCAATTCCCTGGGCCTTTCCCACCCACAAATATGGAAAGTAAACTCCTCATCAGCAACACTGTCCCCCAATCGATCGCCCAACTCCGCCACGAGCCCCCTACCCGGTGCTGACCCCTAGCCCCACAACAGCTCGCGTTTACCTTGACACTGGTGTAGCTGGTCTGGGTCTCGGCCTCAGCGCCGCTGCAGCAGTGTCGCCTCCGGCCCCGGCAGGTGGTCACAGCTGGCCCCGAGGACCCCGTGCTACTGCCACTGCCCAGCTCAGCCCGGGACCTACGGACTCGGACAGCGCCCGGGGGTCCCACCGCGCGGCTCGGGGGCATGGCGTCGGCGGCGTCGGTCTGCACGAAGAGGCCGTGCAGGGGCGCCGTGGGGCCCTGCGACAGGCTGCTGGTCTGGCGGGGCGAGTTGGACTCATCTGAGTCCCGGCAGTATATCACGCCGCTCTGTGAGACATGGATGCTGGGGGCGCAGCCCATCCCTCAGCCGGGATCCCCAGCGCGCGCCCGCCCGCGCCCCCGGGCCACCCAGACTCGGAGCTCCCGCGGCCACCTGCAGTGAGGGGGCGGGCGCGGTGACGGTGGCGTCGCCCAGACTGCGCGCCCCCCAGCCTGGGTGGCTACCGCTCGGTCGGGCTCGCTTCCGTGCCCCCTGGCAAGCGTCCGGGGCAGCACGCGTCACCCCAACTTTCCCTCCCGGGCCATCTTCCTCCTGGAGAGGCAGAGCGCGCACACACGGCCCGCGCGCCCCGGCGGCCGCCACCCTCCCCGCCGCAGCGCCCCAAACGCGCGCCCCGCGCCTCCGCCCTCCGCTCCGCCCGCGCCTCGGCCCGCACCGCCCAGCTCCCCACGCCCGGGCTGGGGCACCCACCCGCCTGCCCGCCGGCTCTGTCTTCCCCACTTTCAGTCTCTGCACGTCGTCCCCTTCCTGTCTCGGTCCTCCTCAGGGTCCCCAAGGGCCACCCCACTGCACTCTGCTCCCTGTCTCGCAGTGCCTGGCACTGTGCCTTAGAGCCTTCCCCAGCTCCTGTTTGCCCAGGGCCTTGTCCCTTCGGGGACCCCATGTCTACATGTCCCCCTAGTGCCCCAACCACTCTCCCCCTAGTCTGCACAAGCTCCCTGCCAGGCCCAGAATGGCTGGGTAGACCTTTGGGGTCAGTCTCAAAAACACATTTTCAGCCCTATCCCTGACTTGTCAAATATATGGGAACATGAAGCTTCGGCCCACCAAGCCCATTGATTGGCTTGCCAACACAACTTGAGCAGTTAAAGAGACCCAATTCTTGAATAGTTGTATCTTCTTTCACTTCAATCCCACCAGGGCCCCCCTGGCCCACATACTAATCCTAGGATTCAGCTGGGTGGTGGCCCAGCCTACAGAAAAAAAGTCTGCATATCCTCAGAAGTTCATGCCAAGAGATGGGCTGTCCCATTGGGGAATACATCCTCATTTCCGTGAAAGAGCCAAGAAAAGGACAGAAAGCTGTCTGCATGTGGTTTTTGTTGTTGTTCAGTTGTTTGTTTTGTTATTTGTGTTCTGTCGGGGATTCTTTGTTTTTGTTGTTTGTATTCTGATTTCTCCCCTAGTTCTCAGCTGTTCTCTGGGTGTCACTAAAGGTTCACCCTGACTTCTACCTCACCCAGCCTTACACTGTTCTTCCACCCCGGATTGGGCAATCCAAAATGGCTGCCTTCAGTCCCCTCAGAGAGGTTCACACTGGTTGAACCCCACCGCAGAGGAGAAGAATGTTTTTAGAAGCAACTAAGCATGCAACTGTCTAGTGGAAATCCGTGATGCAGCCTCCCGGCACCACTTGCCCACTTACTCATGGGCCCCTTTAGTAATCTTGGCCACAACCAGAGTGGCACATGGGGGACAGTGAAATGGCCTGAGCAAGGACTTCATCTAGACTTCTGCAAGGACAAACTTCAATGCAAAATACAAAGACGTATCCAGTTCAAAACATCCTTTCCCTCATACCATCAACTTTTAGAGCGAATGTCTACTCCCTGTCAAAGAGAAACCAGATAAGACGGCACTCCGTATCTGAAGTTTAAGCCCAGTATGGTAGTTCACACCTACAAGTCTACAAATTGGGAGGCTGAGGCAAGAGGATTCCACATAAGGTCAAGGCAGTCTGATGAGCTCTATGAGCTCTAGGCCAGTTGCTCTACAGCAACAAAAAGAAGCACCACCATATGCCATGTTCACATCGGGAGTCAACCTTATTCTACTTTTGCTTTGCATCTCAGTTTAGCTGTCACTCTTTTCATTTTAATGGCATAATAATAATAATAATAATAATAATAATAATAATAATAATAATAAAGCAAAAGTCCTCCAGTTATTTTGGGGAAAATCTGATGTGTTTTCTAATGGGCAGGGAAATAGCTAAGAGATTTCCCAGTGGCCTGAGCTCCCTAGCAACTTTGAGGTAGTGTTTGGCAAGTAATTAATTTAATTAGGTGTCTTGAAAGAAACATGTGGAAAGTGACAGAAAGGTAAGTGACTTCTGAACTGAGGGAGAAACTGACCTAGCCTTAGGCATCCTGCAAGGATGATTCTGATGCTCGAATGATGCTTCAGAGAGGTTCTGAGGTGAGGCTGCAAAGAGGGACCAGGATGCATCCATGTAGACCAGTCATTCATACCAACTATGTCAGTGACCTTGGACAAGGCACCCCCCAACACACACCCCTTACAAAAGGGCAATAGAACCTAGGTTTCCTGCTGGCAGCATTCCCAGCAGCTGGGGGAGTAAGTCAGAGCCCTTCTTTCCTGACATCACCGCTTCCCCACAGTTCCCCTGCACATTGATGGGACACCATACAGAGAAGAATGCCACATTACAGGGAGACAGTCATTCCTTAAAGCTAAATCTGATCACTACCATCTGTAACATCTTCCCCTCCCTCCCTCCCTCCCTCCCTCCCTCCCTCCCTCCCTCCCTTCCTTCCTTCCTTCCTTTTCTTCCTTCCTTTCTTTCTTTCGGGCCACTAACCAGCTCCCCAATCAAGACATGGATACTTACTATTAATTTTGAATGCTTGGCCTAGTTTAGACATGTTTCTGTCCAGCTCTCTTAACTCAAATTCACCTGTTTCTCTTATCTACCATTTGCCTTGGAGATTTGTACCTTCTTCCTCTCTTTCTGTATATCTTTATGGCTTCTCTGTGTCTGGCTGGGTGTCTGGCTGGCATCTATCTGCATGGCTTCTTGTCTTGGGTGTATTCCCTTTCTCTCCTCCTCCCATTCTTCTCCATTTTTTGTTTCTCTCTTCCCAAGCCTAGATTTCTTCTCCCATTTATTCTATATGCCTGTTAGTGATGGGGGATATCCTTTTGTATGCTGTGAATATAATGTTTCTGTTATTGGTTGATGAATAAAGCTGTTTTGGCCAATGGACAGGCAGGGTGTAGCCAGGCAGGAAGTATAGGCAAGGCTACTGGACTAGGAGAGAGCTAGCCAGTAAGAAGCCTAAGCCATTGGCCAAACAGTTTATAATTAATATAAGCCTCTGTGGGTTTATTTGGAACTAAACCACTGAGGGACCAGGTGGGACAGAAACCTCCCTAGGCATGCCAGCCCCGCCTATCCCTTCTCCTGCCCTGCTATTGGCCATTCAGCTTTTTATTAGGCCAGTCAGGTATCTTAGGCAGTCAAGGGGAAACAAATGAAACACATCTTTACATAAACAAATGCAGCATAACCAAAAGTAACACACCTTTACACAGTTAAAGTAATATTCTGCAGCATAACCAAATGTAGCATATCTTTGCCTGGTTAAAATAATATTCTACAATAATCATTTGCCTTCCATCTAATGGATCACTCAGGGATGAGCAAACAAAGGCCAAGTTATATTACAAGACCCCCCCCCAAAATCTCCATCCCAGCTCCTGGTGTAATGTTAATTATTCCTCAGGTACTTCATATACACCCATCACCCATCTCCATCATCATCCTTCATGAAACTGAGCATTACTTCTCATGCCACCCATGTTCAGAGTTTTCTCAAGGAATCGCTCAATGAAACTACCCATTGAAAAGAAAAGTGCCTGTGATACTTTGGGAGGCTAAACTGTGATAAAAACACAGATTATACCCTGTCTTCTGGTAGAGAGCATTAGGAGATGAATCATGACGGCACAGACATCCAGAAACAAATTTAGGTTGAACTTACACATTGTAAAAGATGAGTAAGCCTCGAGAGGGATGACCTCAATGTAGCTAGTGAATAGGACCTTTGGTTGAATGTGACTCCTCCATGGGACAGGAGTCAGAGGGAAAAGTACTTTAGGTATCCATGTACATCCTATCTCCAAAGCAGCCAGCAACCCAGACACAACTTCCACTTCCAATTCTGGCTTGGTGAAAAAAAAATACACACACACACACACACACACACACACACACACACACACACATATGTCTCTACAATCTCCAAGTGTTCTCAGAGGGGATGTATGACCTGCCCCCATGACAGGGACAGACCTAATCTGATGGCTGAAACTTATGGGAGAATCTAAACAGATAAGACATAAGCTGAATCATATCCCCAGCTGACTTCTAAAACCTCAACACTGACCTCAGGAAGTGATTTCTGAACTGATTCCCCTGCAAGGACACAGGGCAACCCAGGGCAACAACAGTGTCTGCATGCTCAGACACTGCAGCTATCATTCGGGCCCAAGTTGTAAAATAAGGTCAAGAAAACCCAACATTATAAAAAGAAATTAATTAAAGTGAGAAAATTTTAGCAGCAATGTTCAGAAACAAGTCTAAAGAAAGCTAACATAATTTTTTTTTAAAAAAAAATGTACTTAAAAAGAAAGCAGAAATTTAACTCATGTTCAAGGTCAGCTGAGTGGCTTTTATATTTTATAATGATATTAAGTAAGAGCTTGCTGCAGGGTTAATGCCCAGAGCACTGCAAGATCCTGAAGAATTAAGGCCCATTCCACTTCTAAGATGGAATGAATCTCCCAGAATTCCTCTCAAGGAGCAGAAAATGTGATTAATACATTTTGAGTCATTTTTAACCACAAAGGTTAAAACAACCACAGCTATCTAATTGATCTTTAGATAACCAAACATTTAATCAACCTATCAACCATACAGAACTTCTGGGTTCAGACAATGTTCCTCATGGCAGAGCCTTGGAAACCTAAATACCTGACAGGTCAAACGACACCATTTATTAGGCAACCCAGCCAGGCAGAAGGTTCACTGAACTCAAAAGGGTCACTCTGAAACTCGACTCTGTGTAACCTTGTGAAAGTCATTTAACCTCTGAGCTACAATTTCCTGCAAAACCTCTGACCTCTCGAAATCACTGACATTTGGGATGCTAAGAACGTCTCATCTTCTTATGAAATGATTTTTAATTTAAAATCGTGGGCTTTTCTTCTTTAAGCTGAAAGAAGAGTCACAAGCCTGAGGGCACATCAGAATCACCCAGAAGAATTTATCAGAAATACAATAATTTCCCATTGCAAGTGTTCAGGGCTGATCCAGCACCTGCCGTTTCTAAGAAAGCAAATCTAGTGTAGCTGTCCTCAGTCTGCTTTGCAGACCATACAAGGCAAATGGCTGAAGTCTTTACAAGTGCCTACAATGCCCACACAATGAGGCTGCTCCCCATTTCAGGCTGAGCTTTCTACCCTCACTCTTTCTGCTCCAACTAAAGTTGGTTAGACAGACATTGCAGAAGAAAGAGCCAAAACACATGGTAGCTTGAGGCTGGTGAGCTCAGAGCTTTCTAGAGCAGGATACCAGACC